TTCATTTGGAAAGTTGGAGGAAAGAGTCTGTCTACTAAAGAAGGGTTTAGTAGATGCGCTAGACAAATATGAAAGACTTACTGACAAGAAGATGAGTTTATATGGGTTCTGTAAATGGTGGTGTAGTAGGTCACCATCCCCAAAAAAGATCACTGAACATGGTTTGTGCTGAACAATGGACTTGCTGATCCAAGAACATTGAAAACTACCCTGGCAGAGTATTGTGCACATTGGTATTTTATGGTGCTCTTTAGCTTGTACATAACAGCAGCCCGATTGAACTGTCCTGGTTGATCAGAAGGGAAGGCTTGTTTTGGTCTATAGCTTAATGTCTTGCATCAGGAGCCTTTTGGCAGCGGCAACAATTGTTCTGAAGCAACAATAGCAGCAACTGTGGCCCATAGGGAGGGCGCTTTTCAGATTTGTCAAAATAAGATTTTAAAAAAAGGTATTTTAGCTACCTAAATGCTCATGGGGGGAAAAAAATGTCATATTTGGTGAACTCTGAACAACCTGGTTTTTCTATCAAAATTAATCAGTGCCAAATTTGGTCCCAAACTGCCCTAAATTCTTCCAAATAGGACAGTCAGCTTAGGTATTTGAGGTCCCTTGGTCTGTCCTGCTTGGAGAAGAGGAGACAGAGGGGAGACCTCATTGCAGTCTACAACTTTGAGAGGAAGAATAAGGGCAGATACTGATCACTTCTCTGTGGTGACCAGTGACAGGACCTGAGGGAATGGCCTGAAGCTCTGTCAGGGGAGGTTTAGGCTGGATATTCAAAAGAGATTCTTTACCCAGAGGGTAGTTGGGCACTGGAACAGGCTCCCCAGCAGGGTCACGGCACCAAGCCTGACAGAGTTCAAGAAGTGTTTGGATAATACTCTCAGGCACATGGTGTGACTCTTGAGGATGGTCCTGGGGTTGGACACGATGATCATTGTGGGTCCCTTCCAACTCAGCATGTTCTGTGATTCTTCTGTCTGATGTAAGTTGTTGTTATCCCAGGTTGCCCTGCGACTACTGGAGAAGGAAGTGCTCGATAAAAGCGACATGGTAGACTTGCTTGGCCCAAGACCATTTGCAGAAAAGTCTACTTACGAAGAATTTGTTGAAGGTACGGGCAGTTTGGACGAGGATACTTCACTACCAGAAGGCCTTAAAGACTGGAACAAAGAGCGTGAAAAAGAGAAAGAGGAGGCAACAGATGAACAGGTTGCTAGGCAGATCAGAGGAGGGACGCCATTTTAACTGTGAGATGTGTGCTGATGTTGATTTGCACTCTGGAAGAGAAACAAACTCACCTAGTTTGTTCAAAACAAAGAAATATTTATTCAACCAAACTGTATTATGAATGAGTGGAAGAGTGATCTCTTGTGATAAAGATGTTCTGCTTCGATGTACGTATGCAAGATCATCAGTTCACTGGTAAAAGGTGATCATCTTTCATTTGCCAGCTGAAGAAGCATACATTGGATTTGAGCTGCAACAGAATGCCAGAACTGAGCCTCTCAAACTTTGAAACAGTTCGGATTCATGCACAAACTTTGTGGCACTGGTCTCTCTTTTTTTTAAAATGTATGTAAGATTACAAAAATCAAAGGGTTTTTTGATTATTTATCTAAACTATACCTGTATGTGACCTGTTTCAAAAAAAATATAACAGAATCATACAAAATGCATTATTGAATGTGAAAGTCTGGTCTTACAAAGTACTAGCTTTGCAAAACTATCTGACTCTTTCCCCCTCACCTCATTTTGATTTTAGAAAGAGTTTATCTACTGAGAACTGCCATGTAAGTTGACACTGAAACTGGACAGTTGCTTAAAGATCTTAAAATGTATTCATGGTTCAGTGTCCTAAATTAAACTCAGTTTGGCTCCTGCAGTTTTACTAGTCAGTTTTTTACAGAGTTCTGTAAAATATTGAACATATGAATGTGTCGTGTAAATACAGTTTGAGTCAATAAAAACAGTACTTTTCTGAACAAAGCTTACCCTTTTTTTTTTTTTTTGCTAATTTCTTGGTATAGAATTCAGACCAGTGCAAAACTTTCTTAAATTAGAGGTAACAGGGTTGTGCTCAAAAATGCCAAAAACAGCAGCCAAACCCAAAGGTTGTCAGAGTTTCATATTGGTTTGCTGCTTCTGGTTGTCTGCTGTGTGCTAAGGATTCATTAGTGGGAGAATTCAGGTGTTCAAAAATTAAGGACCCATCTCCCCATCCCAGCAGAAGATAGGGAAGTGTGGTTGGGGGTTTAAGTGGGGAAGGAAAATGAACCAAGCTTTTCTGCTGGACTAGAACTCTTCTAAGGCTTACAAGTCAGAGGGCACGTTAAGGAGATAATTACTGATTGATTCCATCTGTATGTTGCAACATAATAGAAAGCAGTAGGAGGACAAAGTCTGAAAGATCAGAGCCTTTGCTCAAGTTATTTGAAGTAAATTGTTTATGGAAATGATTCTTTTGGATTTTCTTTTCCTTCATGATGAAGCTTTTTCCATCTCTGATGTAGCCTGGCTTTACAGAGAAGAGGAGCAAGGTAAACAGCAAATATAGCAATCTGGGGCATATTTACTGTGCATTTTTAGTTGCTAAACACATCTCTTCATCCCTACTGAGTTTGTTGTAGAATGAAGGAGAAACAGGAAAGCAGTCTGAAAAAAACTAAACTTCATTTCCTTAATTATTGGAGTCAAAGTTTAGAATGATTTATTGCAATAGTTGTTTTATAAAAAACCTTGCAGACATGGTAAAGCAGTGACTGATTTTCTGTTTGAGTGCTCTAGGTTGTATCTTACATGTATTCTGTGTTAGTGCCTTGTTTGTTCTATTCTCCCTCCCTCAATTTAGCTGAACACTTCTTGTTTGGTATAGGCAGTTTGTACCCAGTGCTGAGGACTAGCTGTGCTTACACAGTAAAGGCCAGAATTCTGCATCTCTTCATTCCTTGCTAAATAAAACCAACAGAAAACACAACAACCAACCAACCAAAACCAACCAAAAACCCTTAACTCGACTCTTCACAACGGCACTACCAGACTGTGAAAGAATTGTCTCCTCTGCAGGAAATGTTTTCTCTTACTCACTGTTTGTGCTGTGTACTTTTAAATTCCACTCTTGTTTAGTTGCAGCATGCAATTAATAAGTGCATGCTTATTAATAATTTATTAATAATATATTCATAATTATAGAGTGGCCTTACTTTTCCTTTATTTTAGAGCATTCGTTTCCTTGTTTAGCCTTACCTCAGTAGGTCTTAATATTTTGTGCCAAAAATTGCAGAATCCGACAGTGTTAGGATTTTGTAATCAAAACAAAGATATGGAAAAACAATAAACAAAAAAAAGCTGTTTACCCAACCAGCCTCTCTGAAGAGGACAGTTAGTGTTCTCCTCCTCACAAATTTAAGATGTCAGGTGGTTGAACATAAATCAAGAAAATCAAGTTTAGTCTGTGCTGCGGCTGCCAATAATGCTGGATTAACTTTTGTTGCAAACACATCGAGCAGTGCTGCCTCAACTAGCAGGGGCTTGTGCTGTGCAGAGGGAGCTGCTGAGTTCCCTGTTCCTCCCAGTGCCAGAAGGAGCAGGTCTAGACCCTCCTTCCCAACCTGACTGTTCCTAAGAGGTGACCACCTTCTCTTAAGGCCATCCATGTGCTAGTAAAGGAATACAGAGCAATATTTGTGGGATGCAGAGAGATGAAGAGCCTAATGTGGCTTGTTTAAGGTGGAATACACATGGGCTCTCATCTCAAAGCTAAGGGCCTGCCCAATTCCTTGCTGGCTTTGCCTGGAGCAACTTTGCAAAAGAGCTGGCCCATCAGGTTAGATTCCAATTTCTGTCCTGATACCACACCTTCTTTCCGTGCAACACCTCACCCACTCCCTGTTTTCAAGCTGGTGTAAGTTGCCATTTTTTCTCCTCATCCTAACATTGACACAGGTGTCCTCATCTGAGCAGTACTAAGAGCTGCACTTCCAGGCATCCTCAGACCTGGCCTGTCCTGGCAGCCTGCTGCTAGGTATTTCCTGTGGCCAGCTGCAAGGCAGTAAAAAGAGAGAAAATGGAGGTGGGCCAGGCCACAGAAATAAAAGGTGCAAGAGACTAGGCTGAAAATTCAGAGGGGAAATGAAAAACACATAGGTGAAGAATGCGAGAAGAAGAGGAACAAAGCTAGGTGAGACTCAGCATGCAGATTTCAAAATCAGAGGTTTCCAAGGAAAAAGCAGGAAGTTATTTGAAAGGAAGGGCAGCTGGAGGAATTGTTCACTAAGCCTGTTACTATTACAATTTTTAGTTATACGTCAGGAAAGGAAGATGATTAGAGTTGGTTGACTGAAGAGGAACAGGAAGGATTTGTGCTTCCCATGGTTCTCTTAAGCTGGTCCTCTCACAATGTTCCTACCACTGGTTCCTAGGTTCACTTTGGTGGCTTGGGTATTTCCCCACCTAAGATCAGATGGAAGATTTGTCTTTTTTTTTCTAAGAGGGCATTAGTTTTCCTCCCCCACCTCCACACATTCTAGAAATTCACACCAAACAGCTGCAAGTAAACACATGTGAAAGAAAGAATGGGTGAGTCAAAGCAGGATCAGAGGACATTGTTAGGTCTGGATTGCACAGCCTCAGAGTGTATATTCTGCATTTTGTGTCAAGTGTATGAAAACCAATAAAGAACAGGCTGGTTCACCAGGTAAATAACAACTCAATTATTTAGGAATGCCAAGATTCCTGGCATTTTTAAAGTATCAACTTTTTTTTTTTTCCACAGTAATATCAGAATTTATGGCTTGGACCAAGGTATGACTTTAGTATTATAAAAAATGCAGTTCCACAAGCTGTAAGATGTTAGTTCTATTTCATTTGGAAATGAACTTCATTTGGAACTGTGCTAGTGCTTTAAATGGAAAGCAGTGTGATAGCAGGCTCTGAGCCTGTAACACGTTCTCCTCCCTTGCAAAGCCAATAGCCTGCCATTTACAAGGAATCAACTAAACTTTGAAGTTTAATGGCTTTATTCCCAACGGATTTTGCTTTTGCTTTGTATTGGTACTACATGTTAATTCTCTTTAATGCATATTGCGTTATAACTTTATCATCTCGTGCTGCGATTAATACATAGCCACATCTCACATTTACAAAATGCATATTTAAAGGTGTTCTATTGCTGTTCACAAATCCTTTAGGCATCACTAGACATTGCAACGAATGTGGCCCCTGTGAATCTGCTTGACTCCATTATGACCCTTCTAAAGACAATCAGCCAGTCTCTGCCTACACTGCTACGCCAAAGCCAGTTTGGTCAGTATGTTGCAGCAGCTGTGTCTCAACCCCTGAAGTCACTTCACGTTACTATGAAAAACTTGTACTTGATTAAAGCTAATTTAGTTCCATTTCTATGTGGAACAGAATTAGGCAGGCAGCTTCAGGTCATGTGAACAACAGTTGCCTGGTTCATATACTTCATAAAACACTGTGTCATTCCCTGAATCCCAAACTAACAAAACATAACATCGTGTTGTCAGGAGCAAAGGATCTTTAGAAATTACACTATGTTTGTAAAGTGCCTTTTTAAAGTATTGAGCAACACTTTTTGCTTGGAAAGTGCTTCTGAAGGCAAGAAGAAAAAACAAAGAGTTCCTGAAACATTTGAAGTTTGGCTTTCCAGAGGGTTTCTCCTTTGTTTGCTTGTTCTGTTGCCTAGAAACTGACCTAAATAAGAGACTCCATGTAGACAGAGTGTTCTCTGGTGGAGGCTCTCTAATGGAGAAGGGCTGTTTAATTGATATGAGCAGAAACATAAAGCATGCACGAGGAGCGAATGCCCAACAGTCACTCTGTCAGCTGGCTTATGCAGAGATCTTTCTGGTCTGGCTTTAGTGGGAGCAGATAAACCTGTTGTTCATCTTTACTTTTTCCAGCTGCTTTGAATACTGTGGATAAATGCTCTTGTACTTCAACCTTAATCTGTCCAGTTATTTTAACCTACCTTGGGAGCAAGGCATGCACAGCATCTGTTAGGGTGTGGTGAACTCACAAACCTAGGTAGTGAGATCTGTTGACACGTAGCCTACGTCCCCTCTCCCACCATCACCTGGGGAATATCTGAATTATTTCAGCTATATGGGCTGGGTGGGATAGAGATAGGAACAGCACCAGCAACTGGTGATAGATAGCCAGAAAGACAGGGCACCAGCAAGATACTGGGGTGTCACTTTAAATCCTGGGGATCCATGAAGAACACATCACAAACTGATAGATTCCATATATATATTATCTGTGATTATTCAGCAACAAGTGGTGAAGTCACAAATCCAGCTTCTAGCCTGCAGCTCACTGGATATTTACATAGCATTGACTGCCCAAAACACTTCTGCTTGAGAGGATACTAATCGGTTTTATTTTGGTTTTAGAGTACTAGAATCAAATATCACTGTCAGCAGTTACTGTACAGAATACGAAAAAACTTTTTCTTCTTTTTATTATGAATAAATTTTGTTTCTGGCAGTTCAGTATTGTACATTTGGTACAGAATGAGTGCTTCAAACCCACAAGCTTTTCTTACCCATAATAGGATGAAAATAGCGCAGCTCTAATTTGTAGATTTTGAGACCTATTTTACATCTTCTCTTCTACAGCTTTAGGGATGACAACCTGTTTGGAAAAGAAAGATCCCAAACTAGCAATCTCTGTGTTCAGACTCTTCAGTCAAAGCCTTAAATGAATGCCTTACATTTGTCTCATGAATAGAAATGGCCTGATTTCCAGAAATACTGAATGTTCTCAGTGATCTCAATGGACTCTGAGGAGCACCTCTAACACCTAAAATTCATGCTCCCTTTTTTTTTTTTTTAACATAAATATGAATTTACAAGCCTAATTGTCAGAAATCGAGAATTGAGAATTTGGACTGGAAAAAAAACTGCACACCTAATTTCTTTATTCATTGATCTCTTCCTCATCATCTTCAAACGCTTCCTCTCCATCATTTGCTGTTGCTTCCTGATACTGCTGATACTCTGAAACCAGGTCATTCATGTTGCTTTCTGCTTCCGTAAATTCCATTTCATCCATTCCCTCTCCCGTGAACCAGTGGAGGAAGGCCTTTCTCCTGAACATGGCCGAAAACTGCTCCGAGATCCTTTTGAAGAGCTCTTGAATAGCAGTGCTGTTGCCAATGAAAGTGGAAGCCATCTTGAGGCCACGGGGAGGTATGTCACACACCGCCACCTTGACATTGTTTGGGATCCACTCCACAAAGTAACTGCTGTTCTTGTTCTGGATGGCCAACATCTGCTCGTCAACCTCCTTCATGGACATGGGGCCACGGAAGACAGTGGCCACCGTCAAGTATCGGCCATGTCTTGGGTCGCAGGCTGCCATCATGTTCTTGGCATCAAACATCTGCTGGGTGAGCTCCGGCACGGTGAGCGCTCGGTATTGTTGGCTGCCTCGGGCTGTCAAAGGAGCGAAGCCTGGCATGAAGAAGTGAAGGCGTGGGAAGGGGACCATATTCACCGCCAGCTTCCGGAGGTCAGCGTTGAGCTGGCCTGGAAAACGCAGGGATGTAGTTACCCCGCTCATGGTAGCGGAAACCAAGTGGTTTAAATCACCGTATGTGGGAGTGGTGAGCTTCAGGGTGCGGAAGCAGATGTCATACAAAGCTTCGTTGTCGATGCAGTAGGTTTCATCTGTATTTTCAACCAGCTGGTGGACTGAAAGCGTAGCGTTATAAGGCTCCACCACTGTATCAGAAACCTTTGGAGAGGGCATGACACTAAAGGTATTCATTATCCTGTCCGGATATTCCTCTCGTATCTTGCTGATGAGTAGGGTTCCCATGCCAGATCCTGTCCCTCCTCCCAGGGAATGAGTGAGCTGAAATCCTTGCAAGCAATCACAGTGTTCACACTCTTTTCTTACTACATCAAGTACAGAGTCGACCAACTCTGCCCCTTCTGTATAGTGTCCTTTAGCCCAGTTGTTTCCTGCACCAGTTTGTCCTAAAATAACATACAACAGGAAAAGAAAATACACAAAATTATCGGTAAGGTTTGATATTTCAACACTGAATGGATTCATATCTGTAACAAAAGCTGCTATAAATCTGTCAGGTAGATAACCGTGCTCTTCAGTTTTGTCTAATAATATCTCATACATATATATATATAATACAATATTATGTTGACACTGGAAGTATCAACATAAATTTTTTAGTATCTGGTAGTTTTCATTTATGCCTTTGGACACTTTTTTTTTTGCCTTTTTGGCATTTTACCTTCCATAAATGCAAAGGTAGCCTTGACTCCTTGTTTTGAAAGCTTTCACACTTCCCAATCCTCATTTTTCTGTAAACACAAGATGACTGTTTAATATTAAAAAACTTCCTGTCTGTAAGGACCACAATGCATACAAAGCTAAATCACACATATATATTTCTAAATGAAAGGTTCCTGGACTGTTCTCACGAGGCACAAAGCCAACTTTGTCATTCTGAAGCTGGGCTTCAGAAGTCCTATTTAACTTGTTGTATCAGGAACTACAGCTTTTTTAATTTCCTGAATGAAAATACCGATCAAAAGAAGCTTCAAGACCATTATTTCAAAAAACTTGGAAGTTAAGTGTCTTTTAGGTTTTACTGGTTTCTTACAAACTCCCTGTTCTTCAGGACGTGCAAAGCATCTTGCAAAACTGGATTACTGATATTTCATAAACCTCTTCTTTTCTTCCACGAGGCTATCTTCCTTTTGTGTGCCCCTCAGTTTATTAAGATGAACAGTCCAGATCATTTGCTATGCCACCATTTTGGTATTACTTAGGTAACAAGGAGGATTAAGTGGGGGATCAGTTTTTTAACACTCTTGTTCCTCACAGTGACTACCATATACATACACTGTGGCTCTGAACTCAGTGTACTTCTCTGAGTGGTATTCAGGAAGAACGGCAGTTTCAGAATTAAGTGACAAATTCTGAGTTGTTCTCCAAGACCTTCCCCTCCCTTCCTATTACCATGTCTCATTTCAATTCCCAGTGCACTGTGTTGGTGCCAAACACATCAACCAGGGAAACTGCTGGCTGGGATATTTTTTAAATATTACGCACTTTATTTTCACTGCACAAATGCCTGGTTTCCTCATGGTGCATTTGGTTAGTTAATGCATTGTTCTGTATGCTGCTATATTTTTCTCTCTTTGAGCCCAGGGAGCTCAGCACTTCCTGTCCAGCTGGGCAAAGCACACAGTAATATCCTTCCAGAATTAAATATGTTTGTAACCAGCTGCAGTCTGCTTGAGCAGATCCCCTACTACAGACAGGGCAGCACGTCAGGATGCACACAAACAAGCAGACATCACTCCAAAACACAGAATTTAGCTCTGTTAAGATCCTTCTGAGTTTAGGACTTTATCTTATAGGTTGGCCCTTGTGTAAACAATGTGTGGTCCTTCCTCAGTGGGCAGCGAGATAAGAAGTAGGGAATAGGAACAAAACACAAGATAAGAGAAGGGCAGTTACACTAACAAATGTGAAAATTTTATTTTCATAGGAAAAAAAATAATCAGTAAAAACTGATTTTACTTGCTTTTGCTTTGTTTGCAGATTAAGTCTGCAAAATTTAGAAGGTAGCATGACTAACAGAGGTGGACCTGTCCTCCAGTGTACTAGACTCCCTCAGTCTTACTCTGCATGACACAAATTCCAGGATGCCCACACAACTACTGCCACACCACCTCTCTCTACTGCACTAGCACAAGCTCTGTATCTAAACTGCATCGTGGAACTGCACCAGTGGCTGCCTACACCAAAATTAATGGCTTCCCTCCAGCCCTCTCTTGGCTACTCCTGTGATAACACTGCACTTCTTCCACCAGTCAGCCACGTGCCTAGGGTCTCTAACATTTTCATTGGAGATTTCCTGCTGTTTATACCCAGTAATCTTATACTTCCACACCCACTAGCTCTACAGCACTGTAAGACCACCACTACTACTACATGCAACATGTAAAATAAGCCCTGGGAGCTCCAGACTTCTTACCCATGACAATACAGTGCAGTCTGGAGGTGCCAAGACTGCCACACACCCAGAAATCCTGACTGTGATCCTGTGAAACTCTACTGGATGGCCTTCACTTATCAGGTGCCTACCTAACTGACTTCTGAAAATCTTACACAAAAATTATTAAGTTCCAGCAGGACTAAATTCTCTAGGTGTGAAACGAGCCTGTGCCCACAAAACTCGGGACTTAGCAAATCTTTTGCCAGTCTTGGAAGCTCTGTGTTGTATGCAGCCCATCTCTAGCGTACTGCCTCCGTCATTTCTCACTGTACATTTGCCAGGATCTAAAGAAGCCTGCATGAAGCAACCTCACAACTTATCTGCCCTCTTGGCACTTCCAGATCCTTCTATCGCTTTCTTTTTACAGCACACTGTAGGGTTATCAAAGACATTCAGGTTGAGCTGCACTCGCAGAGAAGCCATTTGTGAACAGCCAATTGGTTTTTTAATCCCTAAAATGACACCTGTTTTCTGCAATCTTCTCTCACTCCTTTCCTCTCTTCACTGCTTGAAATAGGAGACAAACCTGCTAAGGAAGAGCAGTAGTTTGGCACACTAATGCTTAGAAGCCTACTGTGAACAGCCTTGCTGCAGAACTTGCCTTGTGACTGCCTGACAGCCATTTTGTGGTTGCTCCCACCAGTTCATACAAATTAAATTCAAGTGGTATCTATGCAGCAAATCTATCAAGGTCGTACACAAGAAAGACAAATGTTAAAATGTACAAATGAAAACTGGTTAACGAGAGGAGATACACCAGAGTTCAGAGCAGTTCCTGGTGGGCAACTGTATGCTGGCAGAAGGCCAAGAGATCTGCTGCTCTCATACAGCAAGATCATTCCACCTGTGCTCCTTCACTTTTCGGATCACTATCTTGTCAACACAAGCATTAAAGTATAAGGTCTGTTTTGTATCCATCTCAAATCTCCTGAGATGGATACATTTGCTGGTCTGAGATAAATTCCCATAACTCGAATACGTGATCACGTACTCAGTATACCTGCATGAAATCCTGACTGATGGTCCATGGTTACTTGCAGAGGTAGAAAACATCTCCATCAGAATGAACCCTAACAGCCTGGGGTACAGCAAGTATGGGACTGCCAGCTTCTGCCACAAAATCCTTTGTGGGCCCAGGCCAGATTTTTAAAAGAGAAAACAAAATGCTTTGTTGGCTTTTGACACAGAAGATCATTACTTCAGCGTTCAGCCATTCTACATTATTCAGCAGGTTGGGAGGACAGTGCCTGATGCTGGCAGGGGCCTCTGTCAGATACGAGTTGATCACATGCTGTTGGTTCATTGTTATCTTGGCAGGAAGGGAGTACAGTTAACAGGACTATTGTTGAAGACATTCTGCATTGATTTTGCTCTGGTTTTACTGGTGGTGTGCCAAACTGTAAAGCTCCAGTTCAGGTATTTCCATAGGTCAGGTGAATTCACTTTCAGAGGGCTTGTGTGGTCCATGCAGGGGAAAGGGAATGAAAGGAGAAACCTGAATACAGAAACAAACTTCATAAAGCTGATTAGAGCTATGGCTTTTCTCCCTAAGCTTAATTCTACATGTTGTAACAGAGATCCTTTGGAAGAGACCCTTAATGTCACTGCCATGGAATTTACAGGAGAAAGTTTTGAAAGTTTTAAGTCAAAGTTTTAAGTCAAAGACTCAAAGGGACTCTTTATGGCTTCTTTACTTCCCACCTCACCAGCAACAACCCAGACTTAAGTTTGTTTTATACCACCCAAATAATGTTTATCCTTTCTCTGTCTGTCCCTGGCATTGTTCCTTCCTTATGTTGACATGATATACCAAACTAAGTTGCAATCTAAGCTTGCCTTGTCAGAAGGAAATGTTTGTGGCCAGTGCAGACTTGGAAACCAAAAGGACACGAGAGTTCTCATGGTAGCTTTCATTCAGACTTCCTATTTCAGGATCACTTAACTTCCACATGCTGTTCCTCCTTTAGTGCAAAGGAACTGATAATGCTTCTGTACTTCATAAGGCTGCTCAGAAAGGGCAATGTGCATTTTTAAGCTTAGATGAAAAGTACCACAGAATTACAAAGTAGAACAGTAAAGGCAAAACCAACCCTCTGCAAGAACACTGCAAAACCAGTTCTCCACATACTCTCAGACTGTTCCTCATTATGCTGGAAAATAACCCAGTAATGACAGTGTTTTCCATGTCACAGTTGTTCTTCTTCCACTACTACTATACTATAAAGGTCTACTGAAAAAGTTTAATTACACAGCCTAAAAGCAATTCAATGCTCAAGGATTTAATATGAATTCAAGTGAAGAGTAGTCTGGTTGGTTTGTGGTTGAGGTTTTCCCTCCCCCCTCCATTTTTCTGCAGAATTTCCACGCATTTTGCTGCAAAGAAGTGGCCTCAGGATTTCTCTGGAGTTCACAAATATGGAAAGCAAATGTACTTTATCGGAATACCATAAGAAACTTTCAGCAGTTCGCTAATTGAAGGAATGATTAACAGAAGAATGACTTTTTCAGTTAACAGGATCCTTTGACTGACTAACAGATAACTGCAATCGCATTGTTAGCTATTAGGATTTCTCAGTAGGATCACTTTGGAATAGAGAGATTAAATGCTTTTTGACCATTCACTTGCTAATCAAACAGCTGCTTTGGTTTTTAAAAAGTAACATCCACATACCAAAGATGAAATTATCGGGCCGAAAGAGCTGACCAAAAGGACCGGATCGCACACTATCCATGGTTCCCGGCTCCAAGTCCACCAAGACTGCTCTCGGTACAAATTTCTGAGCTACAATAAAAAGTAAGCATGCCCTTAATGCTCTACCACACTTATAGCCCTTAATACAGAAATATGTCTCATACTGTTACTCTAATACATAGTTCATACCTATATAGGTACTTCCTATACAGAAATTCATGGTAGTGAAAAACCCGGTAACTCTAGGAACAAATCAATTCAGCTTGAAAAACAGAGCTGACATCTTTTGGGTTCTATAGATGGTATATAACATTCTGTAAGCTCTTTATTAGCAATAGATATGAGGGAGGGAAGTTTCTGATTAGAAAAAATGGTTTACACATTCTTTATAACCAAGTAGGTAATGTTTTCTGTGAATAACAGGGGGAGTAAAGTGTTTATGTTCAAATAATCCTAATACATCTCACAAGCTTTAATGCTTGAAGGATTCTCCTTCACTGAAAGAGCTACTTGGTATACACGGCAAACAGCGTATCTACCACAAAGCACAAAATAAAACATCCGTATCAAATTGAAATCGTTCAAACTCAGTTAAATAATATGAATTAACACAAGCGGGACAAAAGATGAAACATTCACACTTGCAGGTTCATGTCAACAGACCAAAGGAATCAACATCTCCATTTTACACTGTTAACACCTTCCAACACCAGACTGACTCAGGGGATTTGGACGCCTTTGGCATCCTATTAATGAATTACTGTTCAGTTCTCTATTACCTGTGACCCAACCCTCTCATTCATGAAATTAAGAGTACTACAGATGCAGGCTCATACAACCAAATGTTTAATTTGAGGTAACTGACACAATGCATCTGATGAAGTAATCGTATTAGAAGAGCAAACGCCTACTGCTGTGTTAAATAAAAAACAAATGTTCACCTCCAGACCCTAAGGACAGTCCCTTGTGCCACTTCTCTCTGTCTGGGGAGATAACACCCAATTATCTTAATACTTCGTAAGAAAGTAGGCAATATTTTCTGTGCATAATGGGTTGAGCTGGGCACAGCTAAGGGGCCAAATGGCATGCAAGGAGGGTGGCCAGAAGTGCAATTTTCTCCCAGACTCCTGTGCCCCTTCCCACGGAGCCCCCTGTCCCGCTCCCCTCCCCGTCCCACACTTACAAGATGATTCATTGTAGTAGACATTGATCCTTTCCAGCTGCAGCGCTGAGTCACCGACATAGCCTCCGGCTGGGTCAATGCCATGCTCATCACTTATTACTTCCCAAAACTAAGGGAGGAAAAGCGAGAAGCGGGTTGGGAACTCCCCTGCGGAGTACTAGGGGCCCTGCCCAGCGCCCGGGCGGGCGGCGGCCCCGCGGCAGCTGCTGGATTCCAGGCGTGCCCGCCGCCACACCCTGCCCGCGCCTGCAGCGGGAGCGGGAGCGGGAGCAGGCACCAGGATTCAAATCCAACGGAGCAGCGGCGGCCGCCCCGCTCCCCGCCCGGAGCCGCCTCAGCGCTCCCCGGGGCCACTCGGGCTGTGCCGCCCTCCCCCACCTGCTTCTGAACCGCAGCCTGGACGGTTTCAACGCAAAAATAATTTAAAAAATAATTTTAAAAAGAGGTCCCGTTTGGTTTGGGCACTTCCCAAAGCCTTTTATGGTCACGGGGAGCGGTGCGGTGCGCGGTGCCCCGGGCGCGCCCGGCAGCGGATCGCTCGGGGCACGGGCGGCCCGGAGGGTCGAGGGGGCGGCGGGGGGCACAGCCCAACACAGCCCAGCCCCCCTCCCCGAGGGGTCCCACAGCCCCGAGGAACGACCGGGCGCGTCCCCCGGGCGCTCAGAGGCTCCGCCAGCGGCGGACAGCCAGCGGGTCCCCTTCAGGCTCACCTTGGTCCCGATCTGGTTTCCACACTGTCCCGCCTGGATGTGCACGATCTCCCTCATGGCTGTAGCCCCAGCTCTCCCAGCCGCGCTCCCGCTGTCCCGCCGCCCAGCCCGGCAGTGCGCGGTGCCGGCCCACCGGGCGGTGCTTTATGGGCTCCCCGCACCCCCCCGCCGCTCTCCCAGCGGCCGCCCCGGCCGGGACCGCCCTCAGCCCCTTGCTGGGACTGGGATAGGGGTGGCGACGGCACCCGCCGGGTGACACCAGCGGCTCGCGTTGTCCCCATCGGCGGTGGGAGTCCCGGGGGGTCCTCCTGCCCCATAATCTGCTGCTCACCCAACCCCAGTTTGGCAAACGTGGGTCCGGCATCCTCCGCACCCCCTCGGGAGCCCTGCCCTGCAGGCGTACATCGCCGCCTTCTCCGGTCGTTCCTTGGGCAGATCGCAGCCTTCGCTGACGGGGCAGCGTCCAAAGGAATGGGTGGCCCTTCTCCGTGCCTCGTCGAAGGGTCATCTTCTTTGCATTGCATTTGTCTTTTCCGACGTGGTTTTGCCAGCAAGATAAACTGCTGCTTGAAAATTCTAGCTGGGATGACAAGCAGTCTCTGCAGAGCAACTTTGCTGAAAGCTCGTGTCACCACAATGCGGAGCATGCCCTGGGATATGCATGATTTAAATAGCTTCATTTTTAGTGAAAAAGGAGATTTTCTTTCTCCTCCAGAGAGGAAACAAGTTCCCACAGCTGCTGAATCTGCTTTATGATCCCGTTTTATAACTGTTGCATGGTTTCCCAGGTAGAGGATGCCTGCTTTGATGCCAGAGTGACTCTTCTGTGGGATGCCATTGTCTATATAGCCTATTCCAATATATAGCCCTGGTGGGAGGCATTCATCTGTCCATGCACATCTTTACTGTCTGACCTAGTCTCTGCTCTTGTGCAAGAGCAGCCCTTAGGCCAGAGTTATAAAACCTCCTTATCCACATGATCAAAGGTGACCCAGCTGGGGTCTTTCGGAGAACAATCTTGGGTAGTCTTTACAACTTCAGCGTAGTCAAGGTAGCCACCACCAATCAATATATTACCTTCAAATAACCCCAAATCTGTATTTTCAGAGGCACCTCCTACCTGTCTGCCCTTATGTTGGTGTGACATGACCGATGTCAGCTAGACTGTGTGCTCTGGGCTCCAACCTTGCCTTTCCATAAATGTTTTTCAGCAGGGCTAGCAGCTTCTAGCAAATTGCCTCTGAGTAGCCCACAACCATCGTGCTAGGCTGAGTCAAATGGCTTTCTGACATCAGTGAAGCAGCTGGAGGATCAGCACATTTGCCTTGCAAGCATCCACCAGCAGAAGATTGGACACTACGTGCTGCCTTCTCCGCTGAACTGTCCTTCTCTGTGTGATCTGCATTTTTGGAAGAGATCCACCAACAAGTCATTATTCAGCAACCTGATTAGTGAGATTGTCTTGGACTTTGCCTGAATCTATATGTCTGTCCTTGAATACTCCTTCCAGGCCTGGCTTTCCCCACGCTTTGCAAATCCTCCCATTTACTGTTTGTACTTGCCATCAACTCTCCTGTTGCAATCATTTTTACTGGAATGCCAGTTTTTAAAATTCGGTTGGTTCCCAGATCTTGCTAGTGGTAAGCCTGAGTGTGTGTTCCCAATAGGCACATGCACACGCACACGCACCCCTCACACACATGTACACATACATACATGGATGTCCACATAGGCAGAAAACACAATATGGATCCCTTCAGTAGCTGGTCTTAGACACTCTTCTTATTCGGTAGCTAACCCCTGGATCCCAAGTCTTCCCAGCTGCTGGCACCTGGAAATGTTATCCCAAAAGTCCATAGTTCCATCCCAGCTGCTGGTATTCAGACCTAAAGACATGCACAGCAACCTATGGCTCCCTCCTCCAGTAGCTGTTCTTAGGACACAGCCTGTTCAGTGGCTGACCTCTGGATGCTCAGTTACCTCACACAGAGGCACAAACAGGCAAACGAGTTTCTCAGGTAGCTGGTCCAGACTTGTGACCTTACCAGTAGCTGACCCCACCACAGTCTCCTCAGTAGGTGGTTTGGACCCCCTTGTCTCTTCAGTAGCCCCCTCACAGATCCACTTGTCTCTTCACTATCTTTCCCAGACTTACAGCTGCTCCAAAACTTGATTCCCACCTAGGCTGGCTTGGTGTTTGCTAGTGACAACACACTGATGTAGGGATGCAAATAACATGTGTGCACTCTGGTCTCTCCAGTTGCTTCATGAAAAACACAAAAGCCCCTGCGACTTGTGGCCCTCTCCTTTGATTGCTGACACTCAAACCACCATGCACACACATACACATGGAATATAGATGCCACTTTCACCCAAAAAATAACCAAAGTATGTTTTAGTAAAACAAAACAGACTGAGGTGATCAGGTGCAAGGTGTAGCCAGACAAGCATACTGACTGACAACCTGTTTACACCTAACCAGGTCATTTTAGCCCTGTATCCTCTTATTTTTCTGTATCAAACCACCTTTACTGCCCCTTTTTTCCACCTTTGATTCCTCCTCTAAACATCCCATAAGTCATCTTGTACAATCCCAAAGGTGCTCTTCCCCTCCTTCTCCTAAATATTCCCATACCACTGCAGGCAGTAACTCCTGTCTAAACAGTGATCCATGGTCGCACTGCCACTGCCTATCATCTTAGAAAGGTTTGTCTACTATTTGGGAGCAGCAGTCAATTAAACAACATTTAAAGGCAAAAACTTCATCCAGTTTCCCACACATAAAAAGCAACACACCATAGTATGCGTAAGACTATGGAACCATGTGGGTGATGAGGGTGAGCAACAGCTTACCCAGCAAATTTGCATCTCACATATACAAATTTTATGGTTTCGTAAAACAACTTCTAATTTTCAGTCAGACCTGAATCAACTTGCAGCTTCTCCATATTTTACTGCTAGTAATCTGAAAGAAGCAACATTTTTTGGTCACTGAATGTAAACATGCCTTCAAATCCTTTTCATCCCTGCTTGTGTCTACTGAGTAGTTCACCTGACTTAGGAGGTGGAGGTGCCATTATAAACTGTGTCATTCTCCTGCACATTCTCCTTAATTCTCCACAGACTCGGCCTAAGATTTTAAAGGCACTTAGGTGTTTCAAAATCCTACTAAACTGCTATGGATTACTTCTGGATGTATTTTAAAACACCACTAAACACCTCTTGGAAATTGTAAGCCACGTAAGTGTCTTCAAAGATTTCTCTCTAGGTGCTTCATCTGACTGAGTCCATGAGATTCATTCTATAAATAGATGAATGTAAAAACACACTGTAAATTCTATACAATGGATTTTCACTTGTTATATTTCGCTCTCTCAGTTACCTATAGTATATATTGACCTCTAACCTTCGTAACTCGTAGTATTTTTTTTACTTCTCACTCACTTCATAGGTTAATTTAATACATAAAGTATTGCTTTTTTCACCATGCACAAAACAGGAAGAGAGTTTTCTAAAGATTTCACTTGCAGATTTACTCTCTTGATTGGTTTTCCTTTTTAACTTCCTTTTGCAATTTTAACTTCTGTTGTTAAAAAAATCAATTCATGTATTTAACCCAAAAAATCAGTAAAATGTCACAATAGCTACAAACTATCAGCTCAAGTTTGCAAACTCCTGCTCCAGACAATCAGTTTACATGACTTATATTCTCAAGGTATCTGTTGCTCTCAGGTGTGGAAGCAAAAGGCTAAATACTAGAAGAGGTCAATGTTTGCATTTTAGGGACTGGCATGACCGTTTATGATAGACAGGACATGGTGATTAGGAAGATCTGACTGCTAGGCCAAGTCTGGATTAGTCTGCCATTTCTAAGTGGGAAAAGCCCAGTTCATTTCCACTGGACAACTCTTCGGTGCTTCAATGTGATGGGCAGACTCCATGTGGTTCTTTTTTCCTGTTAGTCAGAACTAATAATGTATCAGAGAGTAACAGAAGATGAAATACTCATATTGCTCTCGTGCCAGACCCATAGGCCTTGAAACAGCTGTACACATTCGTGGGCAAGACAAACTGATGGGGCCATGTGGGGTTGCAGAGCTTTCAGCGTTCTTTCTTCAGCCTTTCTCACGTACTCATTGCTCATGCACAGGCTAAACAGAAATGGATTCCTACAAGATGATGAACTTCACAAGGCAGGACAAAATGTGTGAGGTGCCCATGCTGCAGAGTAAAATGATTTTCCAGCAACAGCATCTCAAGCAACAGTCATGTCCCACAAAGTCACATGGAAATTTGCTTTAATGCCCTGGAAAAAACCCAGCAAAGTTCTTCTGTATTTAGCTAGTCATATGATATGATTGTTAAGCTGCTTCCTGCTTTTCAGGAAACACGTTTGTGTTTATATCAGTGTTGTTGCTAGGACTATTTCTATTTACTGCAGTTTTTAAGGAATAAGAGAAATTCATGTCATAGCAGAACATCTGACATGTTAACTACCCTTTTCTTTTTTCAGAATGATAAATATGCTGTATTTTGATACTTAAGAATATCAACAAGGGTCTGTCCAGTGATACAAAGCTTGTTATCACTTTCATTAAACGCTAAAGTAATAAATATAATCCATGTGGTCAATTTACTCTGACAGCTTGTAGCAGGCTAGTAAATGCTAGTAATTCCATGGTGACCCTTAGGAGGAAGGTCCAAAGATCAAGTTCCTGTCTTTCTTCTTTAGTCTGAAGATTTTCATGTAAGTTAAAAAGGAAAAAAATCTTAAGCCACTTTGGCTTTTTTTTTTTTTTTTTTTTCTTCTGGTGTTTGTTTGCTTTTAGGGTGTGTGTGTGTGTTTTGTTTTGGAATTTTTTTGGTTGGTGGGTTGGTAGTTTTTTAGGGGGTTGTGTTTTTTTGTTGTTGCTGGTGGTGTTCTTTTTTTTTTTTTTTTTAAATTTGTTTTTGTTGGGTTTTTTTTGCCTGACTTCCTGAGAAAACTAAGCATGGAAAGTCATACTCCTGTTCAAGTGTGTATCTATATATCTCCAGCACCACCTCTTTTTCCATCAGCCTCTTATGACAAAACCTGCAAGAGATACGTGAGTTCCAGAGATATTGCAGCTGCA